TCATCCCTCCCTCCACTCTGCCATCTCAGTCCCTCCTGTTCCCATCTCCCATCCCTTCCCTTCTACACCCCTCCAAGTTTACCCAGGAGATCTTAACTATTTTCCCTTCCTAGGCCCTCCATGTGTGTCCCTCTTAGGGTCCTCCATTTTACCTTGTGGATTATAGCCTGAATATCCTTTGCTTTGTGTCTAATATCCATTTAAGAGTGAGTACATACTGTGTTTGTCTTTCTGCATCTGGGTTACCTCACTCAGGATGATTCTTCCTAGTTCTATCCATTTGCCTACAAATTTCATGATGTCATTTTTTTTTACCACTGAGTAATACTCCATTATGTAAATGTACCACATTTTCCTTATCCATTCTTCCATTGAGGGGCATCTAGGTTGTTTCTAGGTTCTGGCTATTACAAATAATGCTGCTATGAACATAGTTGAGCAAGTGACTTTGTGGTATGATTGAGCATCTTTTGGATATATCACTGGTCATTAGTATCGCCTAAGATCAATGGACTCAATTCACCTATAAAAAGACACAGGCTAACAGAATGCATATGAAAACAGGATCCATCTTTCTGCTGCATACAAGAAACACATCTCAACCTCAAAGACAGACATCACCTCAGAGTAAAGAGTCTGGAAGAGATTTTCCAATCAAATGGTCCTAAGAAACAAGCTGGTGTGGCTATCCTAATATCTAACAAAACAGACTTCAAACTAAAATCAATCAAAAGAGAGGGAGAAGGACATTTCACATTCATCACAGGAAAAATCCATCAAGATGAAGTCTCAATTCTGAACATTTATGTCCCAAATACAAGAGCACCCACATTTGTAAAAGAAACATTACTAAAGCTTAAATCACACATCAAACCACCACACACTAATAGTGGGAGACTTCAACAACCCACTCTCACCATTGGACAGGTCTGCCAGACAGAAACTTAACAGAGAAATAAGGGAACTAGCAGATGTTATGACTCAAATGGACTTAACAGACATCTACAGAACATTTCACCCAAACATAAAAGAGTATACCTTCTTCTAAGCACCCTGTGGAACCTTCTCTAAAACTGACCACATACTCAGTGACAAAGCAAAGCTCTACATATACAAAAAAATTAAAATAACCCCCTGTGTCTTATCAGATCACCATGGCTTAAAGTTAGAATTCGACAACAGTAATGGTAGAAAGACTACAAACTCATGGAAATTGAACAATGCTCAACTGAATCACCACTGGGTCAAGGAAGAAATAAAGAAATTAAAGACATCCTAGAATTCAATGAAAATGAATGCACAACATACCCAAACTTATGGGACACAATAAAGCAGTGCTAACAGGAAAGTTCATAGCACTAAGTGGCTACATAAAGAAGTTGGAGAAATCTCACACTAGGGACTTAACAGTACACCTGAAAGCTCTAGAACAAAAAGAAGCAAACTCACTCAGGAGGAATAGATGCCAGGAAATAATCAAATTGAGGGCTGAAATCAATAAAATAGAAACAAAGAGAACAATACAAAGAATCAATGAAACAAAGAGTTGGTTTTTCCAAGAAAATCAACAAGATAGACAAACCCTTATCCAAACTACCCAAAAGGCAGAGAGAGAATATCCAAATTAAAAAATCAGAAATGAAAAGGGGGACATAACAACAGACACTGAGGAAATCCAGAGAATCATTACATCATACTTTGAAAACCTATACCCCATGAAATCAGAAAATGTAAAAAAAATGGACAATTTTCTGGATTGTGACCACATACCAAAATTAAATCAAGACCAGATAAACAATGTCAATAGACCCATAACCCCTAAGGAAATAGAAACAGTCATTGAAAGTCTCCCAACCAAAAAAAGCCCAGGGCCAGATGGTTTCAGTGCAGAATTCTACCAGAATTTCAAAGAAGAGCTAATACCAATATTCCTCAAATTGTTCCACACAATAAAAACAGAAGGAACATTGACAAACTCTTTTTACGAGGATACAGTTACCCTGATAGCCAAACCACACAAAGATGCAACAAAGAAAGAGAATTACAGACTAATCCCCTCATGAACATTGATGCAAAAATATTCGATAAAATACTGGCAAACTGAATCCAAGAACACATTAGAAAAATCATCCACCATGGTTAAGTAGGCTTCATCCCAGAGATGCAGAGATGGTTCAACATAAAAAAATCTGTAAATGTAATCCACCATATAAATAAACTGAAATAAAAAACCACATAATCATCTCATTAGATGCTGAAAAGGCCTTTGACAAAATCCAACACTCCTTCATGATAAAGGTCTTGGAGAGATCAGGGATACAAGTAACATACCTAAACATAATAAAGGCAATTTACAGCAAGCCAACAGCCAACATCAAATTAAATGAGAGAAACTCAAAGCGATTCCACTAAAACCAGGATCAAGAAAAGGCTGTCCACTCTCTCCATATCTATTCAATATAGTACTTGAAGTTCTAGCTAGAGCAATAAGGCAACAAAAGGAGATCAAGGGGACACAAATTGGAAAGGAGGAAGTCAAACTTTTGCTATTTGCAGATGATATGATAGTATACATAAGTGACCCCAAAAATTTGACCAAGGAACTCCTACAGCTGATAAACTCCTTCAGTAATGTGGCAGGATACAAGATTATCTCAAAAAGATCAGTAGCCCTCCTATATACAAAGGATAAACGGGCTAAGAAAGAAGTCAGAGATTCATCACCTTTAACAATAGCCACAAACAACATAAAATAGTCCTTTTTAAAAAAATATTCTGGGAGAAGCATTTGATAGAATGATGAAACTCACAGGCTAGGAAAGTACAGTCAGTAAGTTACCCACCTGAAACCTGGGACCTTTTATTTTATTTATTTATTTTTTTAGATTATGATCATTTATTATAGATTTAACAAAGTCACAATTTTATTGGGAAAATTTGGATTCAAGCCTAGGATTTTCAACAAAAACCAAAACGAGGCAGATGCACTAGTGGCTGACAGAAAAAGAGGATGTGTGGCACGTTATGAAAACAGCAGTCACATTTTTACTGCGTGTGTGTGTTCAACACTGCTACTTTCATTTGCAAGTAGACTGATTAGAAAGTCTTTATAGATTTATATTTGACTTTTTAATCAAAATTTTCAGCCATTACATTACTCACATCCAGGTTTGCACAGATCTGGTATCTTCTTAGTGGAGTACAGGTCCAGTTGAGATCATTTTATTGAAAAACTGAGCACAGTCAGGCTGCCTTAGGCTTAAGAGCTTCTGGGTTTCATCCTTGGAGGAGTTCAGGATCTTCCCAGGGCCTTGGGCCTCGAATATTCTTTCAGTCTTCATAAGTGGCGTCCTTTATTTTCTCATATTCTGACTCTAAAGTTATTTTATTCGCTTTCAATTTTTTTTTCTAATTCAGGATCAACCTTAATCGTCACAGCATCATACCGGATTTGTGAAGATTCCCGAAGACCAAAGGAACCTCCGACAACCAGCAACAACATGGGGACTCGGTAGAGAAGGGTCTTGTTCTTGCGCAGAGCACGCAACATGGCGGGCGCAATCATGGCAGTAGCTGCGGTCGGCTTAGCCTCTTCGGAGCGGCCCCAGCGCGACCGCCTAGAACCCGGCGGCCTCAGCCGTCTCGACCTTTTTTTTTTTTTTTTTCGTTTTTCGAGACAGGGTTTCTCTGTGTAGCTTTGCGCCTTTCCTGGGACTCGCGATCCGCCTGACTCTGCCTCCCGAGTGCTGGGATTAAAGGCGTGTGCCACCACCGCCTGGCTTCGACCTTTTATTTTAAACATTTCCCTATCTCATTTCCTTATCTTCTGCCTCAGTGACACCAGATGCTTATATAGTTACCATAAACAAAGAAATGTGCTCCAGATGATTCAACCTATCACAATCACACCACAAGCCTTGTGCTCACACAGATGATAACAAAAGGGTAATTTGAACATTTCCAGGGGCTAAAGGATTGCCTTTCCCCTCCACCCTTCTGGATAGTCAAAGCTGCAAAATAATGGGAGATGACTATGGAGAGATACTCCTAAATATCAACCTTAAAATTTCCATGAGATCCACGTTCCTTTTTTTTCAAGGTGAGAGGATTTTTTTGTTTGTTTATGAAACAGTCTCATGTAGCTCAGAGGGCCTCCACCTTGCTGTAAAGGAGAGGGTACATTCAACTTTTGGTTTTCCTGCCTCCAGCTCCACGGTGCTGTGATTTCAAGTGTGTCACCACCCCTAGTTTATCGCCATGGTTGGGATGCATTCCAGGGTTTTCTGAATACTAGGCAAGCACTATAAAAATTAAGCCACACTCAGTGTAGAGTAAAGGGACCAAGGAAAGAACACTCTTACTATGACTTGATCCCAAGACCAGGGCAAAGGAAAACACCCTCACCCTGACTTCACCCCAAGCCCAAGACCACGGCCAAGCAACAGAATCCCACCAATCACTAAGCGAAGATCCAGCCACACACAAAAAAAATCCCAATTCCAGGCCACACTGGAAAGCTCCACCCCTCTCCCTCACCCCAAGATACTCTATATAAATTTTGCCTTCTTTTCTTCAGTTCCCTGCTGCTTCTTCCCTGATTAGAGGCGGCCACTCTCCTGGTTTTTTCCCTCCCGATAAATCTCGTGTGAGGTTTGTTGTTCGGTGTGCTTGGCTCCCCGTTGCCAGGATACCTTTCCCTTCAGAGCTGTAACACTTGCATTGGGGAGACCTTCCCCGCACTGGAGCAGAGCTGTAACACTTCTGTTGAGGAAGCCTTTTCCCTTCCGAGCTGCAACACTTTCACACAGTCCCTAATGATAAGAGTTTACACATCAACTTGATACTTTAATTTTGCTGAAAACAAATTTATTTCAAACAACAGTCCATCAAAAAGAGAAAAATATGTGAACTTGCTTCAAAAGCAACATGAACATCGGGTGTAATGACCAGAGGAAAATCCCATGGCAGTGGGGACACCCCAGTTCAGTCCACTTGAGGCTTTAGGACAGGCTGAGCTTGTCCAAGAGGTATTCAGCCAAGCCGTTCTCTGGATCCTCCATCTGGCGCAGATTGCTCAGACTGCTGCTCAGCTCCTTCAGAACTTGGACCTGCTCACCCAGACAGTGATTCTCTAGGAAGTCGCAGAGGTAGGTGCTGCCTTTTCCCTTGGCCAATTCATGCAGGTTCAGCAGGCTCTGGTTGATGGTCATCTCCATGTGGAGGGCACACTCCATGGCGTGGATGCCCCCATGCCAACTGTCGCGGTCCGGTCTTGGGATGTCATGAAGGACGATGCTGCCTCCACACTTATTCTGCAGGAACATGAACATCTCGGCACTGGCCTTGCATTTCTGTGACTTGCTCAGGAAGAAACGCTTTAAGTTCTCCAGGGCCACGTCATCACCGTCAAAGCAGGAGGCCATAGACAAGTACACGAAGGAGGCTTGGAGCTGCTGCTGGATATGGGTGTTGACAGCGTCCTCGCAGTCATGGTCATAGTTCTGTTGCACTTGCGAGGACGCTTCAGCCATGGCAGGCGCTTGAACACAACAGTCTCAGCAGCTCCTGTACCTACTCAGATGGGCAGGGCGAGAACACGCTGTCCCTGAGTCCCTCAGAAGAGAGGAAGACCCCCCGCCAGAGCTCAGGCAGAAGGCCTCAGATTGCGTGTTGGCGCCTGGTGATGACGTCATTTCAGCGCCAGGGCTTATAAGGGGGGAGGGGAGGGTCAAAAGTGCTGATTTCCATAGCAAGGGGGCCTGGTGGGCCCTGACTGACCTATGCTATACGTTTTAAAGGACTCTATGAATAAACTCCAAAGTTTTAGGCTAAATCCTCTGCATCGTTTATTTCTCTGATTCTTTATATTTATATTCTTTATATTCTCTGAATATCTCCACAATGTTATTTCTCTCAACATTCTGCTGTTTGCTTTCCTTAGGTAAACTTAATATCATAAAACTTTATTTGAATGACTGGTCTCATCACTTCCCTCAGCTAGTATTTACCTGACCCTGTGAAGATAGGGTCAAGGGTTAGGTTGAAGGGTCATCAGTGCTCAGTGACATCATTAAACCAGGCAACTGTGTGGTGATGTTAACTTCTATATAGGATTTTAAAATGGTTTTTCAATAATAAATCTGAAAGATTTTTTTCATTAATATAGAGGGTAGCTGAGAAAACAGACACTTTGCTGCCTTTCTATGGGTAGTATATTCATGGTGCTTCAATGTCCTCCAACACTCTTTCTATTGCCACTGCTATGAAGTAAACCTTGTTAATCATGAAATGAATAAAGTTAATGAAATTAGCTTTAAGAGTCTTTATTTATTTATTTATTTATTTATTTATTAGTTTTTCAAGACAGGGTTTCTCTGTGTAGTTTTGGTACCTGTCCTGGAACTCACTCTGAAGCCCAGGCTGGCCTTGAACTCACAGAGTTTTGCCTGACTCTGCCTCCCGAGTGCTGTGATTAAAGGTGTGCATTACCACCGCCTGGCTAAGAGTCTATTTTTGTCTTTATTATGAGTATATGTGCAAGTATTAAATTAAGTGATCTTTTAAGAAGGCTAATATTGTATTTTTGTACTTAGTTCATTAATTACAACTAAAACAAATGATCTGTTGTTTCTTTTAAGTAGGATATAATCCCAATTGGTCAATTTAAAGCATATATCATAACCATTAGGGCATGACTATCTTAAAATAAAGGACTTCATAGACATACACTCACCAAAGAAAATGTAATTTCTTAATCCAGTTGAAAACTATTTTCATAGTCAGTCAATATACTTTCTATAATATAATCTTAAAGTGACTACAATAAACTCAGTTAATAATTGTGAAGAATTTGTGCTTGCTTTCATAAGAGTTGTTGCAACCATGACTTTTCTTCTTGACTGGAACACAATATAATTTAAAATTGACACTTATCCTTATATTTTTAAAAAAATCACATGAGGATTGTCTTAGCCAGTGGTCTATTGTAGTGAAAAGATATCATGACCATGGCAACTCTTATAAAAGAAAGCATTTAATTGGGGCTTGCTTACAGTTTCAGGTGTTCAGTCCATTTTCATCATGGTAGTAGCTGAGAGATCTGAAGGCAACAAGAAGAAAGAGCCACTGGGTCTGGCTTGGGCTTTTGAAACCTTCAAAGCCCACTCCCAGTAACATACTTCCTCCAACAAGGCTACACCTACTCCAACAAGGTCATACCTCCTAATACTTTCAAATAGTGCCACTCCCTGGTGACCAAGCATTCAAATCTATGAGACTATGGGGGTCATTCTTATTCAAACCACCATAAGGATCATGGTGTCTCATGTCTGTTATCCCAGAAATTGGAAGGCAGATGCAGAAGAAACTGGAGGGCAATGGTAGAATCCACTGTAGTGATTTCAAATTCAGCCTATCTCATACTTGTAAAAGCAAATATAAAGAACTACTGGTAAGTGAGAAATAATTAAGAAAAATTTCAGGTTTTCCTTTATGTAAAACATTAAACAAGACTGGCTTTTCTAGCATCTTTCAGTTTTTACATGTGTGTTTGTATTAATCAAGGTTCTCTTTCTCTCTCTCTCTCTCTCTCTCTCTCTCTCTCTCTCTCTATATATATATATATATATATATATATATATATATATATATATATATATATAATGACTTGCAGACTGCAGTCCAAAAATGGCTAGCTGTGAATGGAAAGTCCAAGAATCTAGTAGCTGCTCAGTCCCATGAGGCTGGGTGTCTCAGATGGTCTTCAGTATATGCTGGAATCCTGAAGAAGTAGGTTCCAATGTCAGTGAAGGAATGGATGTGCTGACAAGGTGAGGGCAAGCAGGCAAAGAACAAAAGCTTCCTTCTTCCATTGTCCTTGTATAGGCTTCCAACAGAAGGTGTGGCCCAGATTAAAGGTGTGCCTTCCCACCTCAAGATCTGGATTAAAAGCATGTATCTTCCAGCCTCAAGATCCAGATCAAAGGCATGTTGTCTTCTTGCCTCAAGATCTGCATGACAAGTGTGCCCTCTTATGATTTCTGGATTGTAGTTCATTCCAGATATAGTCAAGTTGACAACTAAGAATAGCCATCACAATGTTGAAATAACTTTTCATAGTGAAAATATTTATTGAATGAATGGTGCCATAATCACTATTCTTACAAAAAGCCATTGCATATTACAAACAGAAAAGTTTCCTTATCTAATGTAGCAATAGACTGAAAAGAAGACTCTATAGTCTGTTTCACTGCTAAGGGCTCAGCAGCAAATGGCCTAAGTATCACTAGATACTGAAACATACCCAATTCGATTTGTGGTTTGTACATCCTCCCAGTGCTGAATTTATCTTGACTCCTGCTATACACCTGTGGTGGCAAGCAATGAAGACTATCAGTCCCTAGCTCCTCCCAGAACTGGGAACTAATCTCTTTGTTTCACTCATTGGCTGAATCAGTGCAAGTTTTTCTACCATAGTTTCAGTTTTACCTTTTGCACTTCAAGATTTCTAAGTAAATAAGTCATCATCCCTTGTACACTTGATGTCAATGTAGAAATGGGACACAAAAAGACTATAATGCCAGATTTCAATCCTTGTCCTCCTAGATAACCCCATTATTTTACATTTTCTCAAATAAAGAGAGAAATAACCACATTACTCAGTATTTCTCTATGGTGTACCAAAAACAATAATAATGCTAACAATGTACATGAAATTTGAAAATAATAGCATACACTAATACAATTATTTGTCTGGCTCTCATAAATTTCCCCCTTTTCCAAAACTCTGTACTTAAGAGAATTCTCTTGATATCTACATTTGTTATAAATATCTGAATAAAATAAAAACTACTCCTGTTTCCTTTTTGACAATCAATACCACTGAGAGTAAGGACAGCATAGAAAAACACTCATACTTTCTCCAAGGAAAGTGTATTTTACTGGGTTTAGCCACAAAGGTTAAGCAAAAGATTGCTGACATAATTGTATTTTGCCAATACATTTCTTTTTTGGTTCTTTGGGTCCGTTTTATTTGATGTTTCCTGGCATAAAATGTCAAGATTGTTACATCAGTTAGAATGACCACATCTCAAAAGAGACCATGCAAAACAAGTGAGTGTGTTTAAGATGATAGTATTTTTAGTTCATTAGTCTCCATTGCTTCAAAACTTAGTTATGGAAAAAAAAACAATTTATAGACAACGTAGAAAATATGACATGTTCAAAGAAGTTACTAGTGACTGAGCACCATGATAGTCGTTTAAGGCTGCTCTGTTGCAGCCCTCACCAACAGGCACGGCTTACTCAGAAACATAAATGTTAACCTGCATAGGTCGGACTGTATTCGAAAACTGAAAATGTGTTTTAAAAGCAATCTCCATTGGTGGGAGGATGATTCCAATGTATTCTGTGTAATTAAGTATATAACCTTTGAATACAGATCTCATGAGAACTTGTTTTTACTACATTCACTTTGCTAATGATATTTCACTAACAATCGCCACCTCCACAGAGTTACATTTCATGTTGAAGTACTATCATTTGTGTTTTGGGGGCAATAGCCATACTAGGTTGACAAAAGTTATTGGACCATACTGAGATGGCCCAACTCTCCAATTTAAAATTTTTGATTACAATCTTTTGAGAGCTGCAGGTCCTACCTCATGTTTCACATTTCCAAGTGACATGTCCCTCTTGCTGGTGTCTTTTCAACTTTGTCTTCTGTATGTAACCCACTTTCTAGTGTCTTAAAAACAAAGCCTGTGACTCTGGGTTAAGCCCACAAGCATGTGGGAAATTCTGCATTTGAAAGTGGCTTCAGTAGAAGCTGTGGACCCAGGGTGGGGAGCAGACCTGAACCAGAGTAACATTCATTGGCAATACTGGAGCCATCTTGCAACAGCTTCAGTAGAATGTGCCAAACCTAGACAGAGACTGGTATTGACTCCAGATAATGTTCACAAGTGTAGATGGGTTAACCAAAACTAAAGATGTACAAAAACATGTTATGGAAACGCACTATTTAGTAAGCAAATTACATGATACAACTAAAAACAAATAATAAAAAGACTTTAACTGAATTAGCTTGCATGGATAGACAATGCCACTCCAAGAAAACATGAGTTATTATATGACAATCACAGTGAAAATCATAGAATACCTCCCTATGAGCTATTGGCTGGGCAATCCCCCAGGATGGTGGTCAGGAAAGACAAAATGTATCAAATATATTCCTGGTCTGAGCAGCCCTGCTTAAGTCATCAAGCTGCAGTAATGTCAAAATGCCTTGCTGTCCCCGAAGAATATGGTCACTGAAGAGCCTGCAAATCTTATTTTTCTGATCATTCTAAAGAGGGTAGTAGCAATCAGATCAACAAAAGTTCATGGGATGAAGGTTTCTCGAGGGGGAAAATTTACACTAAACCTCAGCTAAATTGAATTTTGGGCAACCAGTTGAATTTGAAGAGGGTATTTGCACTGTCAATGCCAGTACATCTGTTTATCAGCGTTAGGCAATGATGCTTTGGCACAA